CCTAAAAGGATTTGAGTCCTGTCGCTTCTTTCAGAAGTTATGGAATTTTTTCTCGCTTTTCCTAAGAGAATAAATTACGAGTTCAAATTTTTTCTATGGCTCTTCTATATGTCTTTGATATTCATCGTCGTATTAGTATAGCCAGATATTCATTTCTCTTCTCTTATTCAACACCATTCGTACTGGCCTCTACCAACACCTTTTCTTTTCGAGTTTTGTGATATCAGATTGGTCAGTTGTTGTTGTTTTTTCGATACTCTCCTTATCCTGTTGGATTAAGCTATTTTATTTGATGGAGAAGCATTTTACTTTTTCCCTACCATCAAAAGCGAGACATGCCCCATTAGATAGAGAAACATGATCGATACAATGTAATCAAGGAAAAAGAGCCAAACAATAATATATAAACGTCCAGGCACACACAGAAAGAAAGAAAAATGTCTGTTTAGCGAGAACGAAAATGACAGGGAGAGAGAGAACAAAAGAACACGTTATTCTTCGTCTCTTTTTGTTGTACAATATATAGTCTATTACTGCAAGATATATAATACATGAAAAATCATTTTTCGAAAGAGATGCATGTAGTAAAAGAAGGTCAAGCCTAAGGGTAGGAGCGTTTTTTATTGTTGAGATCTTCTTTATAAGAATTTTTCTTTGAGCGTGGAATAACACATACTTCAGTAGATAATGCTGAACTGTCTCCATCTTTCCACACAAACCTGTTGTTGACAATGATTCTTTTGTATAAATCAGCTTTTAGAGCAGAAAACTTTGCGCGAAGCCTACTGTATAACACGTGGATGTCTCTCGGTATATTGTATACCTGGAAAACAGAAAAAGAGCATCGATAATGGATGAAAAGATTTTTTTTGAAAGCTATAGTTGAAGTTTCAGAGTTTGAGGCTGCTCTGACTAAACCTGTACAGTAAATGGAAAGAAAGATGTCCACCGTCACCGAATCGAGTGTGAAGTTTTTGAAAGTTGCGCGTCTCTACTTTGAATGTAGGGAGTTGGATATGTAGGCGCTTCTCGTCTAATTATTTCGTCGACTATAGTTACTTTGTGAATATCGTACAGTTTCTGTATATCAGGCCAGCCTGATATTTCTAATATCTCTCTACTAAATAAGTGATTGGCTCCAGAAACTAGAAGAGCAGCCTTATGATGTAACCGCAATATAGGCTATACAGCCAGCTTTGTAGTGCGTGAGTAGTTCAGTATTGGTAAAATATATGATTTGTATAACTGATCAAGAACGAGAGCGTAAAATGTGTACTTAAACTTCATCATTATACCTAAAATAGAGTTTCACCTGGAAACAATATAATTAATATGACGCTTCCAAGATAAAAATGATGAAGTAAAGTAAGATGGAAAGAATACAGACATTTAGTGGAATTTCTTTTCCGTAGATTTGCAGACCATTCGATAGAGAATTTAACGGCGGTCACGAATATCACAAGCCCGCCTCCTCAAACCCTTTCCTCGCTCAGATAATCGCAAAATACTGCTAAGGGCCCGAAAAACCCCAAAAATGCCCGCTTTTAGAAAAAGCTATGCAGTTTCGTCAAGAAACATCGTAGAGCTTTGCGGTTTCGATATTCAGATTTAGTGCTAAAAGCTAAATCTGAAAATGTACCTTCCAAAGCTCCCGGACCAAAAATGGATTTTTGGCGAAGCCCAAAACCAAGCCGTGTCGGGTTACACATATAAACTTTGCGAGGTTTTCACAGGTTTTTGGGAAAGTCGTAGGCCCAATATTTTGACATGGCTAGAGGCGCCAGGCTGCGAGCTTCAAAACAACAACGAGCTTTTTCCGAAATTCCTTTTCCTCGCTAAGTAAAATCGACTTTACTGGGAAAAATCAAAATTCTGATCAGAATTCGCAATTTTCTCCATCAGAACTCAACTTTCACGCAGTGAAAATATCATATTCGGAATCAGCGTCGAAAGTCGAATCGAGTGATATATATTTCAAATTTTTTCGTTCATTTACATTTTTTGATGAAAATATCAGTAATTCTTCGACGGTAAAATTCAAAAAAATTTGAAGTGATCGAATAAGATAAAAAACTACATCATTCGACTCGATTTTCGGCGCTGATTCTGAATATGATATTTTCACTGCGTGAAAGTTGAGTTTTGATGGAGAAAACTGCGAATTCGGATCAGAATTTTGATTTTTCCCAGTAAAGTCGATTTTACTTAGCGCGGAAAAGGAGTTTCGGAAAAAGCTCGTTGTTGTTTCGAAGCTCGCAGGCTGGCGCATCTAGCCTAGGCATGAGCGGTAATGGTAATTTACCGTCGGTACCGGTAAAATATTTTTTCATTTCGTAGGATACAAATAAAATCGCTAGAACGAGAGGAATCAAGTAATACTTCAATAAAAAAACAAAATGATTAGATGATATGCCTGAGAAAAGGTAAATTTCTATATAGTTATAACTCACACACACATACACATACAATATTACGTTGACTATTGTTTCTAATTGAAAAGTGTATCTAACTAATAGTGGAATATGTATTTAAATTTAGAAGAAAAACACTTGTGCTATTAGATAAATATTGATCATCGTTTCCCTTTACATCATTCTTCATGTTTGAGCCTTTTTATAGGTGCACACGGTGTTGGAAGACATAATATTAAAAATAAATTAATAACTGTTCAACTAAAAAGATTTGTTTATCCAATATCTCGTAAGTTAATATACGTAGGTGTGCTAGTCAACTAGACTTTATGTTGTCTTTTTTAAAAAACGGTTCCTTTTGTCATTAGCTGCAAATTGAACTAGGGAAAGAGTCTAGAAAATTTTATATTGTATGAAAATCTGAGAAAGTGTGTTATTTTACTTCTTAGAGTTATCTTAAGTCATTATTTAAATATTTTTTGCTTTGTAGGAATGTTGTTGGTCGTGCTCTTTCTTTCTTTTTTTTTCTTTTCTATTTTACTGATATAGATACAACCCGTTTACCAAAAAAAGATGAAGAAAATGGAAAAAAATTATTATTTTGTTATTCATGAAGAAATGATGTGCGATACAGCTAATAATGAATATTTGGAGTATGGAACACATGAAGATGCTGTATACAGAACAAAATTAGAAACAATTAAAAATATACATAGACAAGGGTTAATATTAATTTTGGCTATTCTCGATGTAGAACCACAGGTAAAATATCTCAAATTAACAGACAATGATCACTAATATGAATATTCTTTTTTCTCTCCTCCATTCTAGGCTCTCAAAGTGTTAAGAACGGCGGAGTTTGCACCATTTGTCGTATTTATAACTGCACCAAATCTTTCACAAATCAAAGATATCAAAGGGGTTAATGTTAGTTTTTTTTAATACAAACTTTTTATTTTCGTCTGTCTCTTCGGACGAGTTAAATTAAATAATACTGCTGCTCACATAAAAGGAATAAATCAACTTTGAAAATTTGTTCAGTCAGTGAGGTTCATGCTTTCATGATCTAGTCAGTGAGGTTCATGCTTTCATGATCTGGTTCGAATTGTCTAACGTTTTCAAAGCCTTTTCCGTTTTCAGTTGATTCCGTTTCAGTTTTCCCAGTAAAGTCGATTTTACTTAGCGAGGAAAAGGAATTTCGGAAAAAGCTCGTTGTTGTTTTGAAGCTCGCAGCCTGGCGCCTCTAGCCATGTCAAAATATTGGGCCTACGACTTTCCCAAAAACCTGTGAAAACCTCGCAAAGTTTATATGTGTAACCCGACACGGCTTGGTTTCGGGCTTCGCCAAAAATCCATTTTTGGTCCGGGAGCTTTGGAAGGTAAAATGAAGAGAGAAGTAATTTCTACTCACTCGAATCCATGGATGAGCAACTGCATCTTTACTTGTCCTTCTATCATTTGGACTAAAATATAAAAGATGAATCACTAAATCTTTGACTGAATCACTTATTTGTTCCCACTGATGTTTTAACATAATAATAACAACACTGGAAGTTTAAGCCTTACTTGCATCTGTGTAGGACATTTTTGGCGTGGGTCATGGATAGACCATGCCCTTTAAACGCTTAAGCGTCCACTTTCAGACAAATGGTTCGGCTGTCTATAGTATAGCCGAGACTAACTCACGCAATCTCTCAAGTAGCTTTCTGTGCTGTGCGCAAAAAGGTTTGAAAACTAGAAAGAAGAGAACTTCCGATCGAAGATCAATATTTCTTATGAGCTGTGGATTACTTTTACATAGTAAAATAGAAGAAAATTCAATATACGCTGATATCAGAAAATAGACTTTTGTTCGAAAAAATTAACGACTATTAGTATAGCCTCTGACTTTGTCACAGCTTTTGACCATACTCCACTATCGGACTGCTTATGATCTGCGTTATCGAACGAAAAAAAATCAGTCTGCAAAGCAACTCACTTTCTATATTCTATCCATTATAGAGTCCATGAAAACAGATTTTTCAGTCCATGGACTCTAAAAAAGTAATCTAGTCCCGGTCACAATACAAAACAACATGTTTTTTACTGATCACTCCTCGGTTCAAGTAAATCCCAAAATTTTTTTCGAGTCCAGACCAGTCCATGGTCTTGAAAGTTTGAGTCCAGTCCAGTCCGAGTACATGAGCTCAAAAAATTTTCAGCGCAGTCCAGTCAATACGGAGATCTGGTAGAATCGCAACAACTT